CTCCTTCCCCTTTCTAACCTTTTCTTGAGGCCACAATTCTGGACGAATCCCCATCTCTTTCAAATCTAACCGTGCACCCTTTCCGTCCTTTGTTTTGCCTGGGATATTCATAAGCGTCCCCAAAATACCATCACACACATTCTTCTCTATATGCATCACATCAAGACAATGCCTAACGTCATGTTCTCTCCAGTATGGAAGCTTCCAAAAGATTGATTCTTTCTTAAACAGAGCAGCTGAGACCACAGTTTTTTCTGATTTTCCAAACACCATTCGTATCCCTTTCACCCGAGCACTAATCTCAGCACCAGTCAATGGTCTAGGCACAATATCCTCTTCCAAGGTTCCATCGAAAGCCTTTTTCTGCCAACGGTACGGGTGATCACGCCTAAGGAACCTTCGAGTCCGTAGGTAGACATCTTTGTGAGAATGAGTCAGGTATACGCTTGATGTGTCATCAATACATATGGGGCATGCTTTTTCCCCTTTGACCTTGTACCCACACAAGTTGCCATATGCAGGGAAGTCATTCATGGTCCACATAAGGGTTGCATGCAATGTGGACATCTCGTTCTGATGAGCATCGAAAACGGAAACCCCTTCGTCCCACATCTTTCTCAAGTCGTCAATAAGCGGCGCAAGGTAAACATCTATGTCGTTTCCAGTTTGCTTAGGACCAGTTATTAGGAATGAAAGCATTACATACTTACGTTTCATGCACAGCCAAGGAGGCAAATTATAAATCACTAAAAGTACCGGCCATGTGTTGTGTTGGGTACTAAGAGTGCCAAATGGATTCATCCCGTCCGTGCACAACCCAAGCCTTAAATTTCTGACTTCATTACCAAATTCCTCAAACTTCAAATCAATGTTCTTCCACTGTGGAGAGTCAGCTGGATGCTTCAGCATTCTGTTTTTCTTTCTTCCCTCTGCATGCCACCTCAAGTTTTTAGCGTCTTTTGATATTGAGAACAGACGCTTAAACCTTGGAATAATGGGAAGATACCACAACACCTTAGCAGGAAGTCCCTCCGTGCCAGGATTGCAACTCATGCGCTTGTACCGCGACCGCTTGCATCTTGGACACTCCTGCAGTTGTTCATACTCATTTCGATACAAAATACAGTCATTAGGACATGCATGTATCTTCTTATACTCCAAACCAAAGGGACACATGAGCTTCTTTGCGTAATAGTAAGACTTAGGAATTTCATTCCCATCAGGCAACATATCACTTAATGCGGTCAACAAAGAAGTAAAACTGATGTCCGTCCACCCATGCTTCGACTTAATGTTGAAAAGTGTTAGCACGGCCGATAGTTTGGAGTATTTTTTTGCACCCGGGATACAAAGGCTTTTTGGAAGCCTCCGATAATAATTCAAACACTTCTCCTTCAACACCATGCAACATCTCATCCACTTGTTCATCCTCGACCTCATCCGCCTGATCATCATTGGCTCCATCCTCACCATTATCAACAATATAGTCATCATTCTCGTATTCCTCGTCCACATGAATCTCATTGCTTCTAACACGCACATCATTCCGATCAAGATCCCCACTGTACTCTCCACTTTCTCCGTGCCAAATCCACACATGGTATAATTGCCTAAACCCACGACATAATACATGATCTCTAATGATTTCAACACTATCGAACACATTCACATTATTAAAATCAACACAAGGACAATAAAGGCCTTTGCCACCCAGTTTGCGTTGATAAGCTAAAGCCCTCTCGCAAAACTCTTGAACCCCATTCCAAAATTCCAATGTATTGCGTCTACCATACATACAACCACGATCCTTCTCCATTTAGTAAATTGTCTCTAAACATATATAGCACCATATAATTTATAATGTGTAAGTGCTACATATTTTATGTAAATCAAATTCAAGTACAAAACGTGAATATACCATTCATATAGTGAAAAAATGCATGTTTTTAAAGGGTCCTTATCACTCCAACCTAACCCATCCTTGAATGTCTACTCTCACTAGTGAATGTATCTTAACTTTCCAATTTTAAGGAAAATCCGGCAGCATTTCCCCCTAGTTCTCCAAGTACACGATGTAGATAATTAATTACCCACATATGTACCCAGAGAACATAGTGAGAAAATGGTAAGCCAAGATGTTCCTTAAAATCGAAAAGAGAACATACATTTACCACCTAAGTGAGAGTACACATTCAAGAACAGTCCCAACCGGGGACTATTCAAGACTTTCTCCTAATGAGAAAGTCTTGAACGGGTATCTAGGCATATGATGACGCAAGTATTCTATATATTGTTGTATTTATTTGCAATTAAACAATACACAAGTTGCAATTTCATGAATAAACTTTTATTAAATGGATAAATAGAAAGAAATATAGCTAAGTAAAGTTTATAAGTCATACCAATATAGCAACTACCCACTTGAGCTCAATATGTAGTCCTCAAGCTAATTAAACTCGTGCTTCAATTCACAAATCTATTAAAAAAAAACAATAAACAAAAATTAGGTTAACTATAAGGTATGTACTATTTCTTTCTCATAACATTTCAATTCACTAATTTATTTATAAGCTAAAACACATCATTCATTGAACTAACAATTGCTAAACTAACAAGGTTATTAATCTCTAATTTTTCAAAATTACCCATCAAAACAACTTAAAAGTAACCATTCACCCATTCCAAAATTCATCAACTTTTTAGTAACAAGCAAGGTTACTAATCTCAAATTAATTCAAGTATACCCATAAAAACAACTTAATATTAACCATTTAAACATTCCAAAATTCAACTAATTTAATAACAAAGTTAACTAATCTCTAACTTATTCAAAATAATCCATCAAAACAACTTCAAATTAACCATTAAAAGTAAAATACCAAATTTCACCTATTTAAGTACCAAGGTTAATATATATTCTATAATTATTTCAAAATTATCCACCAAAACACATTAAATTAACCATTAAAACATAATAAAATCCAACTAATTGAGTAACAAGGTTACTAATCTCTAATATTTTCACAATTTCCCAATTATATTCAAACCTAAAATTGAGAAAAATTATATTCAAACCTAAATTTTAATTTACTAACAATGGTTCAAAATGCAAAAAAAAATAATATATATAATTATATAATTGGAAAAAAATGTAAAAAAAAAAAAAATAAAAAGAAACCTTGAATAGAAGTAGACAAGGAGGGCAGCTGCTAGGAGGAGACAAGGAGGGTAGCAGCTAGGAGGTCGACCCTCGTAGTGGAGGAAGCAGCGGTGGTGCGCAATGGTGGAGGCAGCGCTGCAGTGGATTAAAAAAAATATATTACTCGGCAGTAACCAGTAAGTGAGTAAGGCAGTTCAACATAGCAAAAAGAGGAAAGAAGCAAGTTCAATTCATCAACAATTGGGTCAATTTAATTATTATATAAACAGGCAAACAAAAACATTATACTTCATTACTTCAAATCTTCAATTCAATTATTCAATATTTCAATTCATAATTTAATTCATGTTTTCATACTCAAAATCTCAAATTCTAACCAACAAAAAACAGAACCTTATTGAAAGTTTGAAACAAATTGAAAGAGAAAGGAAAGAAGGGGACCTACAGTTGGAGGCTTTGGAGCCTTGGAGGAGTTGGAGCCTTGCTGCCTTGGAGGCCGACTTGCCGCCGAGAAGAAATTGGGTCGTGAATGGGTGAGGTGTGAGACCGTAACTGAGCAAAAAGAGGAACTTCAAGCTTCAACAAAGAGGCAAATTGAAGAGGGGTTAGGGTGACAACTGACTAGCCGTCGCGGCGTCGCCGGTCGCCGGATCTGGAGACTGGAATACCGAGGAAGGAGAAGGGGCGAAGAGAGAGAACGAATGAATGGTGGTGGTCTGAAAATGGAGAACGAAATGGAGAGCTGCGCTTTAGGCCTGGAATGTTTGAATGAAACAGTGAAGAACGAAAGAGAGAAGGAAGAAGAAAGAAAGTTAAGCGTTTTTTTTTTTAATTAAGGCACGGGTTCAAATGGCACCGGTTCAAGGGCACCGGTTTGGTTTGAACCGGTGCCTTTTATATTTGGGTAAAATTGCGCCCAAATTTGGGCTGGTTTAGGACACCGGTTTGGCCTGAACCGGTGCCTTTATGGGGGTGCCTTATTGTATGTTTCTACTAGTGAAATCAACCTTTTAAAATAAGATAAATTATTTAAATCATCTAAGACATGATATAAAAATTAATACTCCAATTTATTTGTTAAAACCAATTAATTAAACATGTTTTATTTCATTAATCATAATTTAATTTAATATAATGCAATCACCAATAAAATCATATAAAACATGTTATTCAAATCAATCACTTTCAAAGATATCTAACCACCTAAACGTACCTTGATCCTTGCTAGAAACCACACAAAAGAACTTTAAGAACTTTTGTCAAACACACCCTACAAATAAATATAACCTTGATTAAAATAAGATGTGGGATAGGGATAAGAAGGATAAAAGGATAAGATAAGGATAGAGAATTTTGGGTGGGATATGGATTAACTAAAGTGTTATCTTTTGTTTGGTAAGTTAGGGATACAAGTAAAATAAGTAACAAAGTTACAAAGATAACCTTACTAACCTATCTTTCTCCTTTATTTTTTTCTCTTTATTAAAGGTATAAATGTCATTTTAGTTATAATCCCTATCCCTCATTCTTATTCCAACCCCCTATGTATAAAAATTGAGGGATAAGGGTCTGATCACCTCTATTGAACTGAGCTGAACTGAACTGAACTAAACTAAACTAAACTAAACTGATTGGAGCTAAACTGAATATTTTATAAGACAAGAAAATTAAGAGCTGAACTGAGCTGAAAATTATACAAGAGAGGGAAAATGAAAGCTGAATTGAACTGAACAGATTGAAGCGGAACTGAACTGAAATTAAGCTTAAATGAACATACCCTAAAAAGTGATTTTATCCTTGTTCCATCCTTCTCTCTAATTTCAATCCCTAGAAACAAACATAGTGATTATTTGATTAATATACCTTTCCCCAAATCGATATCCCTCTTTATATATCTCCCTAAACAAACATGCTGTTATACTCTGTTGTGGCTAGGTTTTTGAGTTGACGTTCCTCTAAAAATTTAGTCTTTCTCGTAGGACGCCGCCCTCCCAAGGTTGTTGTTTATTCCCCATTATTCTCTCCTCTCAAGTCTCTGTAAAGTTTGTTTATTTGTTTTTGTGATTAAATTATTTGTTTTAAGGGTTTTTTTTTGTTTTTTTTTCTCTGCAGGAAGTCTGATCTGAGGTTGTCATCTGGTGAATCATTAGGGTATATCGCCTCTTCCCTCCCTGTCATTGTGAAATTACTTTGTCATCCTAGCTAACATAATAATCTTTTCTCATCTTCGATTTCGATTCCACCAAAAATAAGAAGCTTATGTTCTAAACTTATGAATTATTGTTGTCAAATTTGTTGGGTCAATAAATGTTGGTGTGTTCGTCTGGAATTGTATCAACTGCAAGTTTCCAATAGTAAAATTACTTTGTTATCCTAGCTAACATACATGAATTTATGTGTGAATTTGTGAAGAAAATTGTATGTCATCATCAAACCTTTTATTTATTTATTTATTTATTTATTTATTTTTATGTTTTGGTAATGGGATTGTAGCGGAGGACAATTAGTTTTTCATCATGATTGCATTGTTTATTTTTGTCAAGTACCTGAATTTCTTAGACTCCTTTTGGTTGGACTTTGAAATTAGAGAAAATGCAATTATTTTGATTTCAAAATTAGAAATTGAGAGAAAGGTAGAAATTAGCTTGGTTGATATATGATAAGTTGGAATGTGCCTCTGAAATTGAGTGTCTTTGGTTATAACTTTAGTCTTTGGGTTCATATTTGTACCCCCTATTCCGATTTCTATCCTATATTACTCGATTCCTTTTATCTTTTTTGTTTATTTACTTTACGCTTCAGACTACGATGTTGGATGAGGAGTTCTATGCTGAATTGGTTGGCATACTCAAACGTGATGACAAAGATAGTTTTGTGGAGCTCCTTGATGAGAATCCAGAACATGTGGAATCATGTTTAATGATACTTTGTGCAAAGCATAAATCCAAAAAATGTTTGACTGCATTGGTGACTGGGGAGGTGTGCGAACCACCCCCTCCACCAGAGGGCTGTGCTACATGTATTCACGGAGTTGCTTATGTCTACCCTGACCCTGATGTTATTAACATAATGCTCATGCGAGGTGCTATCCGGGATTGCAACATAAAGTGTAAAGCGGGTTTCCCTTCCAATTATGGGACCCCGCTTTTCCTTGCGCTTGATTCTTTGAGGTGCCAGCCTCTTTAGTTTGGTCGTCTTCCCTGGTTGATAAATCTGTCACAAACACTCATTTCTGACCATTTTTTTCTCTTCATGTAGTCATCCTGCAGTCTCGCATCTCGATTCGTGGTGTCTAGGCGACTCCATCATCAAACTTATAGTGCTACTTTGCATGTGGGAAACGGTTTGTTATTAATCTTTCAATGGGTTTTGTATTATAAATTAAAGAATATTAGCATTGTGACCAATTTTTGTTTGTTTGCTACTGGCTTGTGATGTATGACAAATGTATGTTTGTTTGGCTGTATACTGGCTTGTGATGTATCTAATATTGTCCTGTTTGTTTCTTTTACTCAGAAACAACGTTTGGACTCTGCAAGGCTGCTAGCTTGCCACACTGAGTCGGTCAATGACATTGCTTGGACCTTACTTCAGGACGGAAAATTGAAGCAGTTGGCGGCTTTACTTTTGGTTGCCCGAGATGAGGCTATGGCTCCAACTGAGACGGGTATGTTTTCACTGTGTGTTGGACTTGCATCATACCATGTACTAAACTATCCTTTTGTGTCGAAATAGGGATGACAATTCAACAACACCTTACCAATGAAATTGATGGATTGAGTTCCGAAGTTGATTTTGACAATTCTATGCTTATGGATGCCCGTGTGCTGTTTGATGTTTTTGATAGAGCTGGTGAAGCCTTGAGCTCATATTGTATCACGATGTTCAAACCTGTACGTTGAGACTTAAGAGGGAGTTGTTCTGAACCATTAAACTCTCACCAATATCGGTGTTTATCGGTTCTCATTTCCTTTTCTTTCAGATCCCTCCGGAGAAAGTGTTGGTCGATGTTGTTGGGCTGCTTAAGGAAGCTGGTTTTCCCCTGCAATCCAGGGACGTTGACTTGCGCGATTGTTACAGGTGTTCTTTTTTTTTTTTTTTGTTTGTTTGTTCTTTGTTTATACTTTTCTCATTCACAATCTTTGCTGAGCAACTTGGTTTTTCTTCTAATGTTGAATTCATAGGGGACGTCGTGGGGTTTGGAGAGCAAACTTGTTCAAGCTGTCAGGCAAGTCACAATCGCTCTAACAATATGGCTTCTTATTTTGGGGCAATATAAGAACATGTATTAATGCTTCTTTTCCTCATGTTGGGATTCTTGTGGAACAGATACTCTGAGACCGGACAACATAATCATGGAAAGCTCCTCTTCAAGTTCACATTTACATACTTTTGCCGGTCAGAATGGAAAGCTTGTGTATTCTCAACTCCATTGGGATCCTTTGCTTGGTAGGCTCAAGTCGAGGGAAGTTCTAAAATTTTCGTCTTCTGTCCCTGAAGCGCGGTCGCTTAGCACAGTAGCTGGTTCAAGCATACCACTAAGACGTCATCTGGCTTATGTTGCCTTCAAGCTGAAAAGAGGGATCCGATATTTGTGATTAGTGATTATCATCTACTCCGTCCTTAAAAGCCATGTGCATTGTCTATTGATGGGTTGTGGTGTTCACTTTTTTGGTTTGAACCGCTATTATAATAAAAATTGTGTGGAGAATTAGCTATAACCTTAACTCCACCCATATATAAATATATTAGTCTTGTCTATAACCCCGGTTCGTGTATGGCTATATGCTACTCTGTATTACGTTTTGTTTATGTTGTAATTTATGAAACTTAACATTTTCTTCATAATTTTCCCTCTCATACTTTACCTTTCTTAATTTTGATGCTCCATTTACGTATAGGATGCTACGGATTAAAATGCTTCTCTGTTTTCTTTTGATGTACTCCCTCACTTTATTTAAACTTCCAATCTTTGTTGACATTTTCTTTCAAAAACTTTCAATAGAGTCCTATTTTTAATTACTCTCTGAATAATGGATACACTTTTATCTTTTGTCCGTTTTAGAATAATTGATACGGAATACAAATTATTATTTTGATGTGTTACATAATTAGGGATTGCAAAAACAATAGAGGGAGCCGAAGTTTAGCACCTTGATAAATAAATATTAGTAATCAAAATTTGTTTATTAAGGTCATGAACTTGTATTTTCTAATAAACACGCATAAGGCTCAAATCTTCATATTTGTTGTCTCCTTAGGCATAATCAGATATCCATTTCGAATTATCATTGACAAAAACCCCTTAGTTTAAAAATGCCAATGCCCATACCCACAAACTCAACTCAAATTCAAAAATAAAATAAAATAATAAAATTGATTTGATCATAGGAAAGAATATTAAACTGAAAACATATAATAGGGAAAATGTAACAATAAGGTTTACTGATAAAAGCTTGTTTGATGATTGGTATAACCATGAAATACATGAATTTATTATAAAGATAGTTCTCTTCAGTTTAATTTTCAGTTTAGTTCCAATCAGTTTAGTTCAATTCCTAATTTCCTTCTCTCATAAACAATTCATTTCAGCTCTATTCAGTTCAGTTCAGCTCCAATCAGTTCAGTTCAGTTATTTTCAATAAATCAGAACATGCCCTAACCCTTTTCCACAACATCTTATTTTTCTTTTATTTATTATTATTATTATTATTATTATTATTATTATTATTATTATTATTATATCTAAATATGGATGACTATTATCCCATGTACAATCTAGAATATTCTAGAGTTGGGTATTTGGTCTTATCCATTGATGGAACCCTAGGAAGTGTACATTATATATATCCCGTACTATATGGAATATGAAATACAACGTAACAATCTTCCCTCATCTCTCTTTATTTTCTATTCCATATTTAACACGTTATCAGCACCATTGCTAGTCAACTGAGTAGGATTACCAAACATTTATCTAGAATCCATATTATTATTATCATGTAAGTATGATCGCAGCCCATAACAATTATAATTTAACATTTATCTACTTTTGCATGCTTATTTATTGGAATATCAACGTATATAATGAATACAGAGCATGATATATAATTTAAGGTTCCATTTTTATTTTTCTCCATGCTAACATTCTCCCCTTCTATTTCGTTCTTATTTATGCATGATTTGTATCAGTTTTATTTATGCATGATTATAACGTTTAATACATATTTTTGAATACTATTTATATATACTTATCTTTTAATATTATTTTGTATAGTGAAAAATGTCGAACCTTGCCAAGCTCGAATTTGTGGCCCTTGATATTACCGGAAAGAATTATTTATCATGGGTGTTAGATGCTGAAATACACCTAGATGCTAAAGGGATTGGTGAAACAATAAAAGAGGCTAATAAGGCAACACCTCAAGATAAGGCTAAAGCCATGATTTTTCTTCGCCATCACCTCCATGAAGGGCTCAAAAATGAATATTTAACTGTGAAAGACCCACAAATCCTTTGGAGTAATCTAAAGGAAAGGTATGACCACCAAAAAACAGTGATACTCCCTAGAGCTCGTTATGAATGGTTAAATTTGAGATTGCAAGATTTTAAATCTGTTAGTGAATATAACTCAGCTATGTTTAAAATAACTTCTCAATTGAAATTATGTGGAGAAAATATTACTGATGCAGAAATGTTTGAAAAGACATACTCCACTTTCCATGCTAATAATATTGTCCTACAGACACAATATAGAGAAAAAGGTTTTAAAAAATATTCTGAATTAATATCCTGTCTTCTTGTGGCTGAGCAAAATAACGAGCTGTTAATGAAAAATCATGAATCACGTCCTACTGGCTCTACTCCATTCCCTGAAGCGAATGTGACAACCCATAACGGGAAAGAAACTAAAAACAGGGACCATTCCAGCAGTAGTGGTCGAGGTAGAGGTCGTGGTCGTGGCCAATGGCGCGGCCGGGGTCGTGGACGTGGATATGATAGAGGTCGTGGAGGTCATTTCACAAACTCACATTCCCACCAGAAGTGGGAACGTAGGGATGAAAAAGAGAAAAGTGATAACAATATATGTTACCGTTGTGGAGGAAAAGGTCATTGGTCTCGGGTTTGTAGAACTCTAAAGCATCTTATTGAACTTTACCAAGAATCATTGAAGAAAGGAAAGAAAGTTGAGGCAAACCTTGTTCTTGAAGATGGTGAAGGTGATTTTGATTTTGGCAATGCCAATCAATTTGATGTTGGTGATTTCCTTACTTCCCCGGAAGGGAATAATTTTGATTTTGACAGTACAACTCATTTAGAAGTTGTCGATTTCTTCACTGTCCCAGAAGGGAATAATTAAAATTATATTGTATTATGTCAGTTTTAAGTATTAGACTTATGTTTGCTTATTCTAGTAATTTATTTAAGTTTATTTCTTTCGTTGTAATAAGGATTTTTGCTTTATAAATTTATGAACTATTTGAGTGTTTTTATTGATTTATTTGTTTTATCATCTTTATTTTTATGCTTAATATTTTGACATGTATTTTATTTCATGAAGAACATGGATATTACTCAAGTTCAATTTGCTATGAATGGTGAAGAATTATGTCTTGCTGACAGTGCAACTACACATACAATACTTAAAAATAAAAAATATTTCTCTCATTTGATGATGAAAAGGATTAATGTAAGTACCATATCGGGTAGTACAAATATCATTGAGGGCTCCGGAAGAGCCACTATAAAGTTGCCTTGGAGAACTGAAATTAAAATAATTGATGCTTTATACTCCCCATTGTCTCAAAGAAATTTATTAAGTTTTAAGGATATTCGCAATAATGGTTATCATATTGAGACAATCAATGAAGAAAATGACGAATTCCTTCAAATCACAAATATAACTCAAGGCTCAAAATATGTTTTGGAGAAACTACCTACATTCTCTAGTGGTTTGTACTACACAAAAATCAATGTTATTGAAGCTCATGCTATAGTAAACCAGAAGTTTACTAATGATTTTGTTGTTTGGCATGACCGGTTAGGCCATCCTGGTTCAATAATGATGCGAAAAATAATTACGAATTCATGTGGACATTCTTTGAAGAGCCAGCAGATTCTTCATAATAATTTTTCATGTGCTGCTTGCTCAGAAGGCAAGTTGATTATTCGCCCATCACCAGCTAAAATTAATTTTGAATCAATTAGTTTTCTGGAACGTATATAAGGAGATATTTGTGGGCCCATACATCCCCCATGTGGACCATTTAGATATTTTATGGTTTTAATTGATGCATCAACTATATGGTCACATGTGTCTTTGTTATCAACTCGTAATCTGGCGTTTGCTAGACTACTTGCCCAATTGATTAAGTTACGGGCACATTTTCCAGATACTCCCATTAAGACTATTCGGCTTGACAATGCTGGTGAATTTACATCTCAAGCTTTTAATGATTATTGCATGTCCATTGGGATAAATGTTGAACATCCTGTAGCACATGTTCATACACAAAACGGTCTAGCAGAGTCATTAATAAAACGTATTCAGTTAATTGCTAGACCATTGCTTATGAAATCCAATCTCCCAATTTCTGCTTGGGGACATGCTATATTACATGCAACAGCACTAATTCGCATTAGGCCAACAAGTTATCACAAGTTCTCCCCATTTGGTTTATGGTCAGGAACCAAATATTTCCCATCTAAGAATTTTTGGATGTGCGGTTTATGTTCCAATAGCTCCACCACAACGCACTAAGATGGGTCCTCAAAGGAGGATGGGGATATATGTTGGGTTTGAATCCCCGTCAATAATTAAATATCTTGAGCCTACAACAGGGGATTTATTTACGGCTCGTTTTGCAGATTGTCATTTTAACGAGTCACTTTTCCCAACATTAGGGGGAGAAAAGAGAGAGCTGGAAAATGAAATTAAATGGAATGAATTATCATTATCCTATCTTGATCCTCGAACTAAACAATGTGAACTGGAAGTTCAAAAGATAGTTCATTTACAAAGTTTAGCGAATCAATTGCCAGACTCGTTTGCTGACCCAAAAAGAGTGACCAAGTCGCATATTCCAGCTGTTAATGCTCCATTTAAAATAGATGTCCCGGAAAGACAAAATAAAATTGCTAATGAGTCTAAACCACGCCAAAAACGTGGAAGGCCAATAGGTTCCAAAGATAAGAATCCTCGGAAAAGAAAAGGAGCATTGATTGATGATGGTCAAATTGAAGAAACAATTTCCGAAGGATCTCCAGAAGAGACTTTAGACATGATACAAGAAGAAATTCAGGTACCTGATAATGAAGAAATTTCAATAAATTATATCATGTCTGGAATTACATGGAACCGAAATCAAATCGACGTCGATGATGTTTTTGCATGCAATGTAGCATTAGATGTTATGGATAATAAGGATATTTTGGATTTTAACACCTTACAAAAGGCTGAAAATGTTTTTTAACACCCCCCAAAAAAAAACTTTTATTTTAACACCTCCCAAAAATATAAAAGTTGGAAGTTAACACCAGTTAACGATTTCCGTCACGGAAATTTAACGTGGGTCCCACAAATTGGCTTGAACTTCAATTTTCACCCAGCAAAACACGAAACTTCTTTCTTCATTGAATTCGCAGCAACCTTCTGCATTGAATTCTTTCTGAACCTTCATTGATTTCGCTTTTGAACCAAAGGAGATCTTGGCTGAGAAGTGGAGTGTAGGGTGGTGTCAACGTTGGAGAAGATAAGCTCAGGAGGGTTTCTTCATCATCTTCTTCAACTACAAAAGTGCGAAAGCCGCTTGAAATTCACAGAAAATAAGGTAAAATTGCTCTCCTTTGATAGCAATTTCGTCAATTACTGGTGCTTCATTGCTGTAAACCTTGCAATAATTGGGTAATTAGGGTAAATTTTGGGACCACAGTAGGAAAGCCTTGATAAATCAATTTCTGTAACTGACTATGCGACTTAGGTTAATTGGATTTCGTAATTGAAAGTAGAGATTAATTAAGGTGGTTTATTGTTAATTAAACTAGCAAGTGTGGTTTGTTGATTAATTTATGTTACTGAGCACCTACATTGGCTTGTATATGTTTATTTTCAATTTTTTTATGTGTTTGTTTGTGTGGCTGTGATGGATTTGTTTATTCGTATTGTGCATGTATAGTTACATGGCTTTTAATATGTTTTATATGTTTTTCACTGGTGGGTAGATAATGGGTGACAAGGATAGTTTGGTTGACATCTGCCTTAGAGTGGGAGGTGCTTTTGTCCCTAAAAGAGTAACCAAAAACAGGCAGCTGCTGTGTTGGTGTGGTGGTTGGTGTTACTGGAAGAGGAAGGTTCAAGTATCTAAGTTGGATGTGCATTTGATTAGAACAGCTGCAATTCATGGTTTTGTTAATGGTGATATGGATGTGCCTATGCATTACAGCTGTTGGTATAGGCAGAAGGGGAAAACCTTTAACACTGGGAAAAGGGAACTAGTTAACAGTGAAGAGGTTAAGGGCCTTTTGGAGACAGTAAATGAAGAGGGGTATGTTGAGGTTTTTGTAACAACAGAAGCTCCTAGTCAGCCCATACAAGAGGCCCAACCCAATCCTGCAAAGACAAAAAAAAAGGATAAGAAGGTAGAAAGTTCAAATACATCGACTATTAGGAGGAGCCCTAGGTTTAAGAAGACAGAAACTGAACAAAGGGAGGAGAGTCCACCTAGGAAAGCCTCAGCTAATGCTAAAGTGTTGAGGTTTGATGAAGAAAAGGATGATGGATGTGAAGGATCTGGTTATTCAAGTTCAGATTTGAGTGATGAGGGACAAGATTGGGAACCTGGTGAAGAAGAATTTGATGAAGGGGATGAGGAATGGTATATTGAAGGGTCAAAGGAGATCTTGGCCAAAGTGAACAAGAGCCTTAGGAAAGGTTTGGAGAGTGCAGTAGATGACAGGGTTGGCAAAGATAAGAGAGTAGAGTTGAGAAATGATTTGGATGTTGGAAAACCGAAGGTGAATCCAGAAAGTGATGCTGATTCAGATGATTCAAGGAGTTTGTGTGGATCTGATGAGGAACAGGACTATGCTCCTTGGTTTAATGCTGATGTGGACTTTGACAACCCAATCAAGTTGAAGTTAAATCAGAAATTCAGTAATGCTTCAGTCTTGAGGAGGGCCTTAAGACTTCATGCCATTCAAAATAGGTATGAGTTCTACTACTTGCATAATGACAGTAAAAGGATTACAGTTCAGTGTAGATATAGATGTGGCTGTGAGTTCAATAGCTACACTTGTAGAATGCCTGCTTGTACATGTGTGGGGGGGGGTAAAGTGTCAGTTCAAGGTGTTTGCATCAAAACTTGTTAAGCAGCAAACTTGGCAAATCAAAACCTTGAATTTAGACCATTCCTGCTTCAGAGTAAAGAAGAACAAGATGCTTACTGCTGAATACATAGCAGAGAGGTATTTAGAAGAGTTTAGGAGTAACCCTGGTTGGAGAATTAAGGAGATTAGGGCTAGGATTTTGAATGATTTAGGAGTTGATGTGAGTTACTATAAGGCATGGCTAGCTAGGTGTAGGGCAAAACTACTGATATTTGGTTCAGCTAGGGAGCAGTATGCTAGGGTGTGGGATTATGGGAAAGCTGTGATGAAGTACAACCCTGGTTCAGGGTGCAATGTTGTTGTTGATGGTATTGACAGGCCAGAGCCACCATTGTTCATGAGGATGTTCATCTGTTTAAGGCCATTGAGAGATGGATTTGCAAAGGGTTGTAGGCCTTTAATAGGGTTGGATGGTTGTCACCTCAAGGGTGCCTTTCCTGGGCAAATTCTGGTGGCAGTTGCTAAGGATGGGAATAACAACTTGTTTCCTCTAGCTTGGGCCACAGTGGAGATTGAAAACCAGGAAACTTGGGGTTGGTTCTTGGAATCCCTTATGTCAATGTTCACACATGATCAAGGAGCTGGGCTGACCATCATGTCTGACAGGCAAAAGGTAATGCTTCTGTTTCCCTCTTAACTATTTAGGTTCAATTTCTAAGTTTTCATGTGTATGTATGTGATTGACTGATGATTATACTTTTGTCTGCATTTGGTAGGGTTTGATTAAAGCAATGGCTGATGTTATTCCCAAAGCTGAGCAAAGGTTTTGTGTGAGGCATATTTGGGCTAACTTCAAGCTCAACTTCACTGGATCAACCTTTAAGGAGCTGTTTTGGAGAGCAGCTAGGGCCACCACCATTGTAAGTTTATTGATTGTTGAAGCTAGCCTATGCTTTTATATGACTGTTGGTGTGTTTTTATATTGGTTAGCTTGTATATGCTTGGTGTGATTTCTGGTATGCTTTTATATGTCAGTTTGAGCATGAAATTGCCATGGAGTCTATCAAATTCCTCGATGAAGAGGCATATGAGTATTTAATCAACATTCCTCCCCACCATTGGTCTAGACATGCATTCACACCAAACTGCAAGTCCAACATGTTGTTGAACAACATGTGTGAGACTTTCAATGCAGTCATTAGGCCTGCCAGAGATAAACCTATCCTCACCCAAATGGAATGGATGAGGAGGTATATTATGAACAGGAATAATGAAAAGTGGGAGGATTCAAAAACAATTACACACAACTTAGTGCCATATGTGAGGCATGTTCTGGGGAGGATAGACTTTGTGGCTAGGTCCTGTGTGGTGCAGCCATCCAGAGGGAATACATTTGAGGTGCAGCTGAAGGATGACCAGGTGTTGGTTGATTTGGACAAGGAGACCTGCACATGTTACCATTGGGAACTCACTGGCATTCCATGTGTTCATGCTTATGCCTGCATATTGGATATGAGGGGTGACATAGAGGCTGTTGTTGACCCATACTATACCATGGACACATACAGGTCTGCTTATGAACCAGCTGTCCAACCAATGCCTGGCCCAAAGCACTGGGAGACAGTCAGAATGAGGGAACCACTACCCCCTTCTGTTAAGGTGCAACCTGGGAGACCAAAGAGCAAAAAAAGGAAGCTTGAGCCAGGAGAATGTTCTTCTTCAGGTGGTCAGGCAAGTACCAAGAGGAAGAAGCAATGCAGCAACTGTGGGGGATATAGGCATTATGCCAAGACTTGCAAAGTACCTGCTGCACCAGCTACAGAGCTGATAAAGTCAGCAGGCAGACCCCCACTGAACACTCCTTGGATGGTGGAGGAGAGGAAGAAGAAAGAGATTAGGGCTGCTAAAAAGGTAACACAAGCATTACACCAACTCCCCCTTTGTTTTATATATGTATGTGTCTTTTCCATTGACTTTTTATTTTTATATGCATGTCATAGAGTGCAATTGGGGCTGGACCAAACAGCATAGGAAACAAAAAGTTTCCTCAAGAGCAAGAAGGTTGTCTGCCATTCAGCAAGCGCCCACAGCCACAGTCTTCCTCAGCTAAGCATTCCTCAGCTCAGCCATCCTCTAGTCAGCCATCCTCAGCTCAGCCTTCCTCAAGTCAGCCTGCCTCAAGCCAACCAAAAAGAAAGACAAGGTCTTCCTCAAGTCAGCCTACAACAGCCACAGGTGTTGTAACAAGGGCCAGGCTGCAATCCCTCAACAACCTTACTCAGTGATGTACTCATGCTGGATATCAAACATTATGTCTGTTGAACAATTTCAAACTTTTATTATGTACTCATGACTGGTTATGTAACTTGCTAGTTTTTTAGTGGCTTCCCTTAACAAATTTGAACAATTAGATATTGAATTGTAATGGTTGCATGGCTTTGATTGCCATTGAAACATGTTGAAGTAAGGTTCTTTTGTCAACCTGTACTTGAACTATCTTAGTGTTTCACATATTTCCCATGTTTTAATGTTTCACATGTTTAAATAGGTTGATTAAAAGACAAGGCATAAATAGGAACTTAGACAAGGCATAAATAGGTTGATTAAAAGACATATTTATAACACTTCAAGTCATTACAAGAAATTATAACTACTTAATACAGCTTACTATTACACACCCCTAGCCATTAGGAAAATTACACCCATTGACAAACCTATACAAATGGCCATGCCCACCCAACCAAAACAGCTGATTGAAGACACCTTCCCTTCATTGCACTCCCTGTTCATTCTCTTCCTGTCAGCGTTCAAGGCCTTGCATCTCATCTTCAAATTATCAACTTCATTAAGTAGGCACCTCCTTTGGCCACTGATTTCATCAACTTCCCTTTTCAATTCATTAACTTCACCCTTTAGCAGCTTCTTATCCAACAACAGGTTGTTGATAACCCCTGTTTGCCAATCTGTTCCATCAGGTTGATCAACCCATTCGAAAGCTTTGCAACCCCTTGTTTCTGTTATTGGGTCATAAAACTTACATGATATGAACTTCCTGCCTGGATTCTCCCTTGTCCAGCTAGTGAGCTTGGCCATTGGCACACCACACTTACATTTTCTGGCCTCAGGAGGGGAAGAGCTAACAAACGACATAATCTGCATCAATTTTAGATCGACAGTCACATTCGTCAGATTTGTACACTGACGAATTAACATTGACAGCAACAAAATTCATTTTTAATTTCATAATACGAAAAGCCCCAAATTCAATTTCTGACGAACCCTAATTTCGCAATTGGGCATTTAGATGCGTACATAACATAATCCAACCATTAATCTGAGTACGAAACAATTGCAAATAATAATTGAAGAGAATTTAAACCATAATTACCAAACAACCGAACAATTGACCGCACTCACCTGTTTCAGCAGCTTCAATCTGTTCCTCTTCTCAAAAATCGTGGAAGAATCGTGAAAGAATTGTTTCAAGTATCGTGCAACAATGCAATGCGCTGCTGCTATTCAATAAGAACAACAATTTCGTTCATTGGGGGAGAATCGTGCAAGAATGGTTCTTATATATCGTGCAAGAATCGTGGAAGAATGGTTCTTATATACAGATCTTTTAAAAATATATCCGTTGGGGTGGGCCCCACTAACAGTTCTGTTAACGGAAGATGGATTTTGGTGTTAACTTCCAACTTTTATATTTTTGGGAGGTGTTAAAATAAAAGTTTTTTTTGGGGGGTGTTAAAAAACATTTTCAGCCTTTTGTAAGGTGTTAAAATCCAAAATATCCGGATAATAATGAGGATCATGAACCAAAATCTATTGAAGAATGTAGACAAAGAAATGATTGGCCAAAATGGAAAGAAGCAATTGAAGCAGAATTAAAATCTCTTGGAAAAAGAGAAGTATTCGGACCAGTAGTCCGTACACCTGAAGGTGTAAAGCCAGTGGGATATAAATGGGTCTTTGTGCGAAAGAGAAATGAAAAGGGTGAAGTTGTAAGATATAAGGCACGCTTAGTTGCACAAGGATTCTCACAAAGACCTGGTATTGATTATGAGGAGACATATTCTCCTGTGGTGGATGCAACTACTTTTAGATTTTTGATTAGTCTGGCAATAAGAGAAGGACTTGACTTACGTTTGATGGATGTATTTTTATAAAGAAATTTGGATCAGGATTTGTTATAATTGCAGTGTATGTTGATGATTTGAATATCATTGGAACTCTTGAAGAGATTTCAGTGACTGTCAATTATTTAAAGAAAGAGTTCGAAATGAAAGATCTAGGAAAGACAAAATTCTGCTTGGGGTTACAAATAGAGCACCTAGAGAATGGAATCCTTGTGCATCAATCAACATACATAGAAAAGGTTCTTAAAAGATTTTCTTTGGATACAACACATCCATTGAGCAGCCCTATGGTTGTAAGATCACTTGAAGTAGAGAAAGATCCATTCCGACCTCGGGAAAATGATGAAGAAATTCTTGGTCCTGAAGTACCGTATCTTAGTGCAATTGGAGCACTAATGTACCTTGCAAGTCATACACGACCTGATATATCATTTTCAGTTAATTTATTAGCAAGGTTTAGTTCATGTCCAACCCGAAGGCATTGGAATGGGATTAAACATTTACTTCGTTACCTTCAAGGTACGAGGGTTTATTTTTCCCAAAGTGGTCCAAAGAAAATTTGATTGGTTTTGCAGATGCGGGTTATTTATCTGATCCTCATAATGGTCGGTCACAAACTGGATATGTGTTCACATATGGTGGTACTGCCATTTCTTGGCGTTCCATGAAACAAACCATTGCAGCTACTTCTTCCAATCATTCTGAGATTTTAGCAATTCACGAGGCTAGTCGTGAATGTGTATGGTTAAGGTCGGTAGTTCAACATATAAAAGAAGTTTGTGGTTTATCATCTGGGAAAGAGGCACCAACAACTTTATATGAGGATAACGCTGCTTGTATTGCTCAACTTAAGGAAGGATACATCAAAGGCGATAGAACAAAGCACATCTTACCCAAATTTTTCTTCACTCATGATCTTCAGAAGAATGAAGATATAAATGTATTGCAGATTCGTTCAAGTGAGAATTTAGCAGACTTATTTACTAAGGCTCTTCCGACAGCAACATTCAAAAAGTTAGCTTACGGCATTGGATTGCGTCGTCTTAAAGATCTCGAGTGATGTAGTCATGAGGGGGAGTTAATGCGCGCTGCACTCTTTTTTCCTTAACCATGGTTTTTTCCCACTGGGTTTTCCTGGTAAGGTTTTTAACGAGGCAGCATCTTATGCGCATTATAGTGTATTATTTTGTACAGGTTTTGTAGTAAATGTTAGTTATTGTTTTATTCAATATATAGTCATCCAAGGGGGAGTGTTATGATAATATCTAAATATGGATGACTATTATCCCATGTACAATCTAGAATATTCTAGAGTTGGGTATTTGGTCTTATCCATTGATGGAACCCTAGGAAGTGTACATTATATATATCCCGTACTATATGGAATATGAAATACAACGTAACAATCTTCCCTCATCTCTCTTTATTTTCTATTCCATATTTAACATATTATTATTATTATTATTATTATTATTGTTATTATTATTGTTATTATTATTATTATTATTATTATTTATTTATTTATTTATTATTATTATTATTATTATTATTATTATTTCAATTTTTTTATTATAAAGATAAAGAAAATTTAAAAATTAGTAAACCCTATCTAACAAGGGTTTTACAATTTTAACTAACAATTAATCATCGCCTACAGTAGAGTGAAGATGTGAGTTAGGGAAATAATTGACTAACAACATGACCTACACTTGAAATCCAATCTTTAGGGCTTGTTTGGTTAGGGGTATTCATCAAAGGGAATGGGAATCAACTGCCTTGATTCCGTTGTTGTTTGTTAAGCCTTTTTTTCATTCCCTTTGTTGACTCGAATGAACAATACAAGGGGGGGGGGATGAATTGTATTGTAGAGGAACTAGGGTAATTTTTGCGGAATTTAAAAAGGAACTCGAATAAAAACTAAAAGTGCAAAGAGAGATTTTACGTGGAAAACTTCTTGGCCCTAATCAAGAAAAAAAACCACGACCACAAGGGATTTTAAACTCAACTCTTAATAATAATAGGGCAAACAACCTATTACAAATTAAGACTCTAAACTCAAGTTCCTCAATAAACTTAAGCTCCCTTCAACTGATCCCTCAATCAGTCAAACTCTCTAGCTCTCTCTTTCTCCTTGCTTTACTCAAAGCAATAAAACACTCTTAGGGTTTTCCCAAACTCTAACCCAATACAACTCAAGATTAAACTCTAAATTGCTAAGTACAAAGACACTCAAGGACTTAAGTGGATTATGACTCTTTTGAAGACTAAAAGACTGTAATTTTCAAGTGCACATTCCCAATCAGAAAACCAATCCTATTTATACTAGAAAGGGGAAGTTAAAACACTGTCGTTTTCCTTAACTCCCACTAAGCCACAACTTCCATAAAACTAGGAAGTGCAGTTCGTGGGTGCTTGGGCAGCAAGCTAAAACACTTTACAAGGAAGTGGTTTACTGCTTCCTATTTTCTCTCAACTTCCTTGACCAAGTAAAACAGCCGTTTTTTAGAAGAGTATTTTCCAAGTCAGATTTTCCAAAATAATAGGATAGAATCAAAACAGAAAATCTTTTTAACTAACAAGATATTTTAACTCAAAAAGATATTTTTCGAAATAAAACAAGTTAAAATATGGAAAATAAATCTTTATCAAATAAAATTAAATCCACTTAAATCATATCAATTGACAATGTACTTAACATAAATACAAGAAGCCTAAAATAAAGATAAAATACATTAGACTCCTTGAGACACTGTGTAGCTTCGACTCTGGAGCTTCAGTTCCTCACTAAAGGAACTTGACTTCTGATTGTCTTCTTTGTTCATCCATAGCCTATCCTTAGACCTTGTTCCATGCTCCATTCTGACTCTAGAACTTCGTTGCATATATAAACCTGTCAATAAATCAAAGCTAATAGACAGAAGTTAAAACACCTATGGGTTTGCTTAGGTTCCTTAAGTCATCATCAAAACTTAAGGTCAACAATATTCCCCCTTTTTGACGAATGACAAACCTAAGCAAACTCACTTAATTAAAAAAATAAATAGAAGACAATCAGTAAAAAAAAAATAATAAATAAGTAAACTTAAATGAACTAGACAATTTTAAACAAGGAACTGGGAAGAAAATAGCCATAAAGCAAGCAAGCATCATCCATATAAACAAACTGATGTTCCTCCAGAACATCAACAAAAGCAAAATACCCTGTTTAATTGTTTACAGACCGAAAGAAGCAAAACAAAACAAAGTTTAATCCAGACCAAGTTCAAAGAGAAATAGTTTGATAACTAAGACAGAAAGAAAATAAGATTAGGCTTCAGGGGTTGAGGAA